TTTTGCAGTCTACCAACAAATCTGCATATTTCAGGCTTTTCCTCTGGTGCATCTCATCACAGAGTTCCTCACATGACATTATGGTTACAAGTGTCTTGGACTGTTTGGACCACAACATCAAGTCTGGACTCAATTATATACCTATTATTATTAATAGAAATACATGCTTCCTATTCAGATCGACCCAAAATTCCCAGTGAGTGTCGTCCCATGTCAAGCACTGATGATTTCCATCATTTCTTTTCCTCAGGTCTTGCACATTGTCAACTTGATTTTTGCTAGCACTCCTGTTCATTTTTTTTTTGTTTCTTTCTTCTCCACCATCGGATGAGACCTTATAAATCGGGGCCCTGTGTCGCAGTATGTGCTGGCACGAAAAAAAAAATCCCCCACTGTTCAATGACCAGGTATAGGTCAAAATTCGTAGCCCTCCATCGGCAAGTGGTGGTGTATCCATATGAGTGAAACATTCTCGGAGTGACGATAAATAAAACAATCAATAAATCAACTTGATTTATTGATTGTTTTATTTCTCGTCACTCCGATTGATTTAATCAATCCTCTTCACTACTCCCACTATAGTTCCTTTAATACATTTCATACCTTTATATTACATACCGGCCTTGATTGATTGATTGATTTATTATATATTGTTTAACGTCCTTCTCAAGAATTTTTAACTCAAATGGAGACGTCACCGTATGCCGGTGAAGGGCTTCAAATTTAGACCTATGCTCTGCACTTAGGGCCATTGAGCAGCGAGGGTTCTTTATCGTGCCAGCGCCTACCGTGCCACGGGACCTACGTTTTTAAGGTCATATCCGAGAGACCCGTTACTTTCAGTTCTAGTGCCGAGCGCTTGGCGAAGGAACAGTTTATGTTTACATCTTAGGTCAATCGCAACTTCTCGGACCTTTCCGACTAGCGGAAAAACAACCTCGAATGTTTATGGTAGACGCCATGACAACCCTCTTTTTTGACGATCTGTGAAATAAATGCGTGGGGACCTTTTATCTGTTGAATATGGAGCTTAACTCTATTCAATGTAATGTTATTACTTAAAATATTCTATAGAAGGGACTTCAAACTCCGTCTATCCTATATTTGAATATACAGGAAATGTATAAATTTTTAACATCCGGTGATGTTAATACATTCGAGGTTGTTTTTCCAACCTCTGACGGAAAGACCCGAGATGATGCGATTGCGTCTTAGGTATGACGTGGCGCCGCATACCGGCCTTGAAAGCACCTATAAATACTGTAAATGTGTGTCATTGTACTCTTTTCCCCCATACAGTCTGCATGCAGGATCTTCACTGAGTTCCAAATATTGTAGATTTGCTAATGAATGTAGTGTATCATACACCCATCGTGGTCAAAGCACAGAGTTCTCAAAAGTTCAAACTCATCCAAGCCTTCTACTTACTGAGATCTGCTGCCTGTAATCTTCTGATATCTTCAACCTTTTTCTTACTTCTCACGATCTTGTTGGCCCTGTTCCATTTCTGAATTGTATCACCCGAGTTCTTTCTCTGTCTTTTGGATGTGTTTCCGATTAAGTCGCAATTTCTGTATGCTCCTTGCTTGATGTAAGGCTGAAGCTGTCAATCACTCGCGCCCTGGCTTTATCTAAACGCCTGCATCGCGGACCTTTTGAGGTAGGTCTCGAAAAGTGATGACCAGTCTGCATTTGGCCAACCTTAACTCTCCAATCACCAATGGGAGAGGAAATTGAGTTTATAACTTTATATAATTTGAAATTTAATATAGAGTCTTATCGAAGTAAAGCTGAATAAAATTCCTAACCTTTCCTTTGCATAGCAATTTTCTGATTTCTCCAAGCCCTCTTCCTCTGCCATTGCTACCTAAAAAAACACAGCATCCACATCAATTTCAGCAAAATTCCATGCTGATAAATGAAAGCGTCATATATATTTACTGGTAGTTTCCTATATATTGTCTACGTTCTACAATCATGATGTTACACTCAGTTTAAGTTTCTCTAATTGGTTACTGTTTGCCAGTAATGAATCGAACCACATCCAAAGGCATTTTATCGGGTTGTCAACTTTCATTGAAATCTCTTCGTCTTAGACTTCACCTGGCAATTGTTTTGTTGATTATTTCGTCCCTTCTACAGCACCCGAAACCTTGATTTCTTTGGTTTTAACTTCATGTGTGTCCGACAGCAAAGCTACGTGTAAACCCCATCTTACTTGTGTAAATGTGATTGTAGTCACTATAAGGCCGCCCTTGAAGCCTTGTATTTATCGTATTTTTGAATTCGTCTTTGGACCTCTTGTTACATTAAAAGTTTAAATCTAAAGTTTAAACATATCGATAACTATCTTTTATAGAGACATGTAAGTTTAACACTTTAAATTTAAACTTTTAATGTAACACTCTTGTTTCTCTTCCTGCAGCGGTCGCCATCAAGCTCATCTCCACCACAGACAGAATTGGTGAGGTCGTACATTCTGTCACAACTTCCCTTTTCTAACGCAGCTGATGCCAGGCAATTGTTTTAAAATTCTGCAACTATAAACCTGATCTGAATGTCATCAAAGTAAACGTTGACAATTTCCTTCACATATTAGTACTTTAGTGCATTAGTAGCATCGTGATCTCTATCAGATGACATATATGAAACATATGGAGATAACGAACAGTATTCAAGATCAAAAGTCCATAAAACAATACAAAATAGGAGCAAAGCAAACACGGACCTACAAAACATCAGAATTGGGATCAGTTGCCATGGAGGAATGAGCATCCCCTGCCGACCGGTCACACCCGCCGTGTGCTCCTTGTCATGATCGGAAATAACGGAAAAATCCGTCTTCAATTCAGTGTAGAGATAAAGGACTAACAATTAGAATGAGAAACGTCGGTCAGCATTTGACTCAATGATAAATTGTATTTATTGACAGGGTCATTGTATCGACCATAGAACTTACGAAATGATGACTTTAAACGAGACTGCTGATATTCTTGTTTCATCAACTCAATAATTTACCTCGTTTTAAAAATTGTTCATACGTAGAGCATGCTCTTGCGTATCGAATCAACTGAGATACATAAACTCCGTATGCAGGTGATGAAGGTATATTGCTGCATATATGTAAGGGAAGTTGACGTTAGAAAAGTTAAAGTCATCACATTTATCATGGAGCTTGGTTGTAAGATTACCATTAACGTCTTTTTCAAGTAAAATATCCAAATATGAAACAAATGTGTCAGACTCTGTGGTATCTTTTTCTCAAACTGACCAGGATATATCGTTTCGACATAAGAATGGAAATTGCAGCTGTTAATTGACAATACGTTCGATATATTAAAATGTCGAATTGAAGACCACAATAAGTGTTTTCTTCTTTTCACGCATAAGATTTTGCACAAATTCTGCTTCATATGAATACAAAGATAGGTCTGCTAATAAATGGCACAATTCGTACCCATGGGAATTCCAATATATTGTTGGAATACCTGGTTTCCAAAAACAACATACATGTAGATATTGTCGATCAGAAACTCGGCGTCTTTTTGATGTCGACTTCAGAGTACTTAATTGTGTGTACAATCTGAATGTTTTTAGCATAATAATTTTGCAAATGACCAATGACAAGGTACGTAAATTTACGAGCTCCATTTTTAATGAAAAAGCAGCTGTCAATGATATCGAAAAACCTGGTCTTGAATTTATCATGGGGAATGGTTGTGTATAAAGTTGAAAAGTCGTAAGTTTTTAAGCTGTTGATTTTAGTAAAATCTTGTGATTTCAAATTGTTCAAAACTTCCTTGGAATTTTTAAGTATCCACATCTGATTAACACCACTTCTGAAACGTTGAATAAAAAAATAAAATCTATGCGGTTTAAGTTGTTCATTTTACCACAGTAGACATAATTAAAGTTGTTATTAAAAAAATAATAATAAAAGTTTGTTTGAATCATCTGTCCTTAAACTGAAATGTTTGATTTTTTAAAAACTTGTGTATCATTTTCTCGGGAATACTAAAATGACACCTTACAAACGTTTCACATAAATAATTTTATAAACATTTGGTTAAAATGAGTACTTAAGCAATATTTATGCATTCTTCTAAAAATCTTGAAAATGAATTGGGAAATAATTTATGTACATTTCATTGATAGATGGCCATTATAAATAGAGGAACTATCAGGTAATTCATTTTCTTTTTAATTGAATTGCTTAGCCCATAATTAGCCCATAATTAGCCCATATTATCATATGATTATGGTGTACATGTAGTTATAAATATGCAATATCTATAGATCATTATATTCTGCATGGAAGGCAGTCAACATGCAGAAAATTAACAGGATTATATAATAATATTACCCCCATCAGTGAATTTAATCCGATGCATCCCAAAACAATGTTAGGTAACAAGAAGGATAACACTTATACAATTTCCATTATAAACAACATTACAAAGAAAGAAAACCAAAGTTGACGGACATAGGCCCATATACACATGCAAGAAAACCACTGATCATGTCAATTTTACTAGCTTAAAGCCTGAGAATGAGCCAAGATGCAACCATTTTTATCAACTTGTTTATCAACGGCAACAGATTTGAAAGATGGATCTAAAGTTCTCCAGCTTTCCCCGTTTATTTTAAAATTTTCTAAATGAAATAAATGTCATTAAAATATTTAAGCGTTCATTGTCAAGTTTTTCTTCTAATAAAATGTAATAGAATTGATTTATGCTAGCCTAATTCTATATCTGATATTGTTGCATTTAAATTGATTACTATGATTGTATCTTCTGATTAAATATAACCTGGCTTATAGTTTTAGTCTTCTGATTAAATATAACCTGGCTTATAGTTTTAGTCTCTCTGGTCATTTTTTTATAAGAATATTTACGTGCTGAAGAAAGAAAGAAAGAGTGACACGCTCATTGCCAATGGTGCGTAACAGTAACGCCACATGTGAGCTAGCAACGAAATTAACGGAGGTGTACCGAATGATCGTTTTGCAGAAAAAATGAGGTCCATCAGTCCATGAGAAAAGAAGAAATCAAGTTATTTCAGAGGGGATGCTAGGTATATCAGCGTTAGTATTTGATCAATTAGCCTATGTTTTATTTTTGTTGAATGCATACGCGTCAAATATAGGAATGGACAGCAATATTGTTTGTGTTATTGTTGTGTACTATCGACAGGTCGATGTCCATGTGCTTCAGGGATGCTCTTGAGGGATAGCGTCTCAGCTAGCCTATTTAACTATTGTGCTTGAATATGCAAACATTATCTGTATTTAGAGATGCATCTTTGACTACAAGCCTATACATAAAAAACTGCCTTGAGAAGCATTAATATCTACAATATTTTGCACTGTACATTGTTTTAAAACAGTCGTCAGACCTTTAAATAGAGTGATCTGCCCTTGGATATAAAACAGGTAAAAAAGGCCTAATCAATAGTACGTAGTGTCTGACTGAGAATATGACGGCGGTGTTTTTTAACTTTTTAGAAAATGGGCCGTAACTCAAGAACCCCTTGGCCAATAATTGTCAAATTTGTCTTAGGGTATCTTTGGCCCAAGGGCTCCTGTTGGTTCTAAAACAAGGGTTGTGACCCTTAAATAAGGGGAGATAATCAGATAAATAAAACCAAAAATACTGGTTGCAAAAAAAAAAAATTACCACCAGGCTGATTATCACCAAACTTACATACGAGAATGAAGATATGTTGAAGATAAAAAAAATTACACCCTGGGGCAAAAAAAAAAGGCACGGTCTCAAGATCACTTTAATAAAAGTAACGTTGATATTTTGCTTACTATAGGTACTAGGATAATAAAGTCTTGTCAGTTGATGCATCTTTTAGAATGTCATATTATGTTGACTCAAAAGTAGGTCATGGTGACCCACTTTCCGAATTTTGCAGCCATTGGTTTTTCAAACTGATTTGGAGGCATATTTTGGATACTTTAAGGCCTATGATCATCAAACGTTGTCAGTTGATGCACTAGCTATATATATAGAGGGGGTAGACTTTTTCGATATTTGGCTAATTTAGCAACTTATTAATAAAATTCAGGTGCCTGTGGTTGATGCATCTTAGGTTTTCAGACAACATAAACTTAGAGTAGGTCACCTTGGCCTAATTTTTGAATTTATGGCTTATCTTTTCTGTAACATCTTAGGCCATTTTTTCAGATACTGAGAGGTTTAGAATCATTTAACATTTTAAGTTGATGCATCTTGGGGCCTTAAGGAGGTTGGATTCTGTTATCAAAAGTTTTGAGAATTTTTAATCAAGTAAACTTCATCTTGTATATTTTAAGAATCTACACACATATAGCTTAGATAAAAATCAGAACAAAAAAGGGGTTAATGTGCATCTTTTGGCGCTACGTAGCATAAAATATGACGTCTTTGCACTGTCTAACACATAAATCTATTTTTCAAAGTTTTTCCTCTAATATTCTCTGTTTTGTATCCAAATGTATTATCTATAGGAACAAACAAGTTGCCTTCTTTCATGCAACCAAATGGAAGAATACTTTGAAAGCTCTGAGGGGAAAACTTGAAGACAAGGTCATTTGCAGCTGTAAAAGGAAAGGAGAAATGCACGAAGAAAACATATGGCTGGACCGGGAATCGAAACCGGGACCCCTGCATTACTAGTCAGGTGCTCCAACCACTGAGCTATCCAGGCGGAAACCCACAGTCCATAAAGCCCGAACTTCTGCATTCCTCCCTCCTTAAACAGTCTTCGACCTCGAAGACACAAGTTCTAGAGCCCTGTCAGGAATTACTAATTTAAACATACACTGTAACCTGAGCAAGGCCCCCCACACTGGCCACCAAATGTAGTAGGAAAGGAGAAATGCACGAAGAAAACATATGGCTGGACCGGGAATCAAACCTGGGACCCCTGCATTACTAGTCTAGTCAGGTGCTCTAACCACTGAGCTATCCAGGCCGAAACCCACGGTCCGTAAAGCCCGAATTTCTACACAGCAATTAACTATTTATTCACTATCTGTATCAAGAATTTAGATATTTGTATTTTTGTATCCATGTCGAATAGAAAATTTATATAAAACCGTTTTCATTGCAATGTCATAACTAGAAAGCGTGTACATGTATGCCCTGAAGGTAAAATTGATAAAAATCTTTGCAGGCCTGATTATTCTCAATGGTACATAATTCCTTTTTAATTATTTTATTGGGATTTAAGTCTGGATTTACTGCATCATGTAAGTTTCAAATGGATTAAAATATTTGAACCAAACATATTTCATAAAGTAATACCCTATAATTTTGTAAGCTTTCTTCAAACTTATTATATTCATTAATAAAATTTAGATATGGCAATATACAAATGCATGGCTACTGTAATTTTATTTTCAAACATCTGTAATATAGAAGTACCAATTATCATAAAGCTTGCTTTAGAGGGCCATCCATAATGAAGTTTTATTTTTATTTTGCAGAGTATCGGTAAATAATTTGGTATGCCTGTACTGCAGTAAAAGCTGAGAACACCACAATGATGTCCAAGAAAGAATTATGTAGCCTTTATTCTGTTTTTGTGGGGCACCTGTCTCTCTCTGTTACAAAAGTAAGTAGGGGAAATGTTTGCTGAAAAACAAGTGTCATTTATTGCTGAAAAGATTGAAATGAAATGTTTAATGCAAATAATGTTAAAAATAAGTAGTCCTTTTAAAGCAGTGTTTGAAAGAACCTTGCACCTGACTGCCGGCTTACTGCGATGCACAATTTTTTTTGCAAGTGAAGAGATTTACATGTCATTGCCAGAGTTGACATATAATAATTTTATAATTTTATGCAGTCATTGTGACTAGTATTGATTACTTAACTTAATTAAAATTATTTTTGACATTCACTAATCATTGGTTGTTTTTTTTCTCACAGACAGACCTTGTAGATCTATTTTCTGGATGTGGTGAAATAGAAGACGTTTTCATCTGTGACAATAACTCATCATCTCCATATCTATATGGGTAAGATAGAACAATTTCCTCATGAAGAATTGTTTTTTAAAAATATTCAAGCACATGAAAAACAAATTTTTACATCAATAGAAATTTAACAAGAAAAATACATGCATTTTTTTCAGTTTTGTCCGCTTCAGAGATATTGAATCAGTTTACAAATCTGTAAAAACTCTGCACAGATGGCCACTAAAGGGAAACAAAATCGTGGTAGATATCGCTAAAGACACAGGAGATCGAATAAAAAAAGGTAAAAAGACGGTTATAACATTGTACATATAACTTAAAAGTACTTATTATTTTGTACTGTAAACCAACTATATTAAATCTTCATTTTTACTCCATCAGCAACAATTAATTTTGTTAAGTTGTGGAAAATTCAATAGAAATATTCATAAGTATTGCATTTAATTTTTACTTTGAAAAGAAGGTTTCAGAGGCTATTTTTGCTGATGAATAAAAATTTATTTACAGTACATGTAATTTAAACAAATGCATGGTATCTTTGATTCATTTGACTCAATTTTCAAACCTTGAAATTAACAGTTTAGTGTTTCTCTGTTATCTTGATATTATTGAAATTTTTAGAGAGAATTTAGAAAGATATTGAGAATTAAGATTACTGTAATCCACATTTCTCTGTAATTTTTCAGGAGGTGATACATTTATAAATGTCAACAAACTGATGTCAACTCCCTCCCCCAGTGCCCCTCTTGTTAAGGAGCATCCCCCCTCTGTGGCCTCATCCAACATCATCCAGGACGTCATGCATCTTGGTCGTCTCAAAGAATGTTATGCCTCTTTGGCAATGGAAGCCAAATACAATGTTGGTTCATGTAAGTTTCCAAAATATTGTGGTAACTTCACACACAAAAAACCCCAAAAAACACTCATTAAATTACCATTATCTTTCTGCAAACACATATGAATGGAATTACATATTGTATTTATACATTGTACACGTGTACATATGATGTTGGAGAGAAGATTATAGACTCAAAAATGTTTTCTCTTATGTTTTGAATCATTACATTAAAGAGCAAATCAGTAATCTTGATTTATAAGTTTTACTTGCATGAAGATTATTCTATAAGCTGGTTCATTTTTTCAGCCTGAATTTTCTTTTCTTTGAATTTAATCATTCAGACTCAGACTTCTGAATTTTTCAAATTTATGAATACATATAATTAATATTAGCTTACTAAAGAAAGGGAGGTGTGAGTATGGTATTTAGCAATTTTTCGATTCCCTAATGTTATTGAGGGACAAAAAAAAAAATCACAAAAACTAGCTGTTATGGATATTACTGGTACATTTGAATTTTGGTAGTTTGGTAGAACTTTGATATCCCAGATACTGTGGATATGTTGAATTGATTTGGAAGTCCAAACAAACTTATCTTCATCTATTTTAACTTTGATATTTTGAAGATTTCTCTTGATCCTCTCAAGTCAGAGAAAAAGATGTTGGGCTGTATTTGAGAAGGATGTCCTTCTTCCTTTTTCAGTCGCTGATAAGAAAACAGTCAGCATTACTGACATGGAAACCTTTATGGAGGATGTTGAGCAGGCTAGTGCAGCGAAATCAGCGACGTATGAGGGAAAAATCCAGAAAACTGTGTCACCGGAATTGGTGAACCAGGCTCTTCTAAATAGGTAAAAATATTGTATTTCATTTGTATTTTACAAGTGAAAGAAAAAACAGCTCTCCAACACTCAGACTAAAAATTTCAGGGAAAATGTGTTGATATTCTCTGAAGTAGTAGAAAGAACATCGTCAGAATCCCACAACTGATTACGCTTCGTTTCTCTCTCCATAGGGAGGAACAAAGTGTAATCAGCCGTGTGTTTCCAATGATGTAGAGAGAAAGGAAACTTACGAAGTGATCACGAAGTCTTCTTTGTTCTGACAATTACTTCCATTGGAAAATTGTAACAAGCCTACAGACAACTGGGAAAGTTTTTTTTATGTTTAGAATAAATCATTTGTTCTGGTGATTTTTGTCCTCTTACAATAGTTCTAGTGAACTGAAAAGTGAAAATACGAGTTTGTTATTCTTATGTCAGTTCCCATTTATGGATTCAGGGATTTTCCACTGCCCCGTGTTGGGCCGAATATGGGCCCCATTCCCAATTGCAAAATCACTCCATTTTTCCCAAAAATGAACAGCCTGTGTTTATTTTTTTTAAAAATTCATGTAAAACATACATGTTTACAAACCTCAACATGTAAACTCTTAATGAAATGAACATAATTTTTGGAGACTTGGCTAAAACTTTATAATAATGGATCTATTTTCTGAAGTAAAGTTCTGAAAAATAAAGTAAAAAATCAGTTTTAACTATCATAAGTGTTCAATTATTGAAATACATCTTGCTATAAAATTTCCCAACAAGTTGTAAAATGTTGTAAAATTCCCAATGGTAAGGGCCTGGGCCCCATTCCCAAAATGGGGTGGAAAATCCCTGATCAGATTGAAAGAAAGTTTTTTATATTTCATTACAGTGATGATTTAGATCCTGCTTTTGGAATGAATCGAGCCAACCATTTCCTGTCTTCGTTGAAGGTAGTCATGGGAAATATGGCCTCATTTCTGAAAGATCATGATTTAATGTCCTCGGAGACAGCAGAGCTGGTGAACCTCTGTGCTGGGGAGAGTGAGGAAAAATACTCAGATGAGAGTAGTCATGCCTCCACTAAAGATAGAAAGATTTACAGGAACTCCGCATTGAAAGAGAGGCTGAAACAACCAGAGACTTCCGACAGTGAAATTTCTCCCGTATATGAACCTGTGTCTGTTTCTGACCAGAAGAGGAGCTTTGAGGAATCTGCAGGGAACACCAGTAGGTGTTCAGAATCTGAACTTGTTCATTCAAACCAAGGTAGATGTTTACCAATCGAACCACATGAATTTGCTGATGATGAAATGAGTCAAAGTAATGTCAATGAATCAGATGATAGGATTTATGATGAGGGTGAAGAAGTAGCAGAGACCATAACAAAAGGACATGTGGATTGTCAAGAGTATGAGATGCTCTCAAAAGATGAAAATTCTGAGGAAGTTGATGATGTCTTTAGCTTAGTCAGTTTTAAATCAAGAGATGGTGACTTAAAAACCAAGAAGTCTGCGATCAGTTTAGGCTCAAGCCCTGGAAAAAGGATTGAAAGTAAAGAGGACCAGAAATTATCTTCAACCAGCAGTTTGTCATCTCATTCAACTGCCTCAGAAGGTTCAAAATTGCCATCATTTACAACTACTTCAGAGAGTGCAAAACAACCACCTTATTCAACCGCTTCAGAAAGTACAAAGTTATCAAATGACTTCAGGCCAAAATCTCCAGTGTCACCTGATATAGCAATCATCTCATCAGCTCTTCATTCCAAGAAACCACAGACTATTTTGAAAACAAAACCAGTTGCAGATCAACAAGGAAAAGCCAGCACCTTTGTTCACTCAAAATCATCACCTAGCCTTGGGACATCATTTATGAAGACATCACCAACTTTCATTTCATCCAGTCTGAAGAAGGTGCCATCTCCACCTAGAATGTCATCAGGGCCTCATTCAAATTCACCACCTAATATTCCATTGTTAAAACAGTTTCCCAGTGCATCTGCTCACTTAAAATCATCCCCTACTATAGGATCATCTTATCCCACTACGTTAACCAGTGCCAATTCATCAAGTGTTCAAAAACTCCCATCTCCACCATTTCCATCACATGTTCTGCATTCAAAATCACCTCAAACTAACAGAGATTCAGTGCATGACTTGGATTCATCTCCAAAGGAAATGCCTGTATATCCTGAAACTAAAACTTATCAAACACCTACCATTGATTACAAAATTTGTGAACATGATGCAGAAGTTTTAAGCGATGAGGATTCTTGTGAGAAAGACAAAATAGAAGCTCAATCAAAAGAACATGTAAAGTCTGCCAAGATTGAGACAATTTCAGAAAAGGAGAGTTTTGATGAGGTTGACGAAGACTTAATCTCGGTTACTTTTGAACTAGAGATAAAAGATGATGATGGACTTGAAGGAAAAGTCAATGAAAATGAAAATCCTTTGGAAAGTGGAATTTCTGCAACAGACCAAGAAAGCAGCCATGGTGGAGAGGACCTTAAATCATCTTCAGCCAGCAGTTTATCATCTTATTCATTAGTGAATGCTAAGCTGTCAAGGTCAAATTACTACAGACCATTTTCTCCAGTGTCCTCTGATATGTCACTCAGCATGTCTTCATCAGAACCAATATTCGAGTCACAAACAGGTATCAAAGGATTAAGGCAGTCTGATTCAACTACTAGCCATGTGACATCTCAGCCTAATATGTCATCAACTGTCCTTCCAACTAGTTCTTTAGAAATGCCATCTCCCTCAAGTGTTTCATCTGCTGATCATACAAACTCAAGGTCATCATCAAACAGCTATCATTCAGGACATAGCTCAAATGCATCTACAACTGAAATTCCAGTTCAATGTGAATTTGAAACGATTAATACACCCATTCAACATGAGAAGTTTCATGAAAGTATCTCAGACTCGGAAGCAAGGAGTTCTCAAAAATCCAAACCATCCCAGAGCTTAAATTCAGATATTTCTGACAATGAAGCTCAAGTGTCCCCAGTCACAAGTCCCAGATTTGGAGAGACTCAGAAACTGGACCTTGGTGAGTTATTTGGATTATGTAATGGTCAGAAACAGGAAGTGGTGGCAGAGAAAGTGAGCTTGGATCAGATTTTCAGTATGTGCAATGGACAGACGGTAAATTTATCACATGGCACAGACTTCGGCTTGCAGGCTACAGGAGAACCCAAGGAAAAACCTGATCCTAATGGCGTGCAGAAGGAGGATTTTCAGAAGTACTTTGAATTGGGTAAGTTCAATGTTTATCACATTTCGACTACAAATATTGATTGTGATATTCATGCAATAATAATCATGTATCATTCAAAGTATTTCCTTATTTTTTCTACAGTCAAACTGGGAAGAGGAAGAGGTTCTAGCTCACTGTTAAATACTACTAGATAAGATAAGCCAGGTGCAGAAGAAGTTTTCTCAAGGTGTGTACATAAAGACTGGAATTACCATCGGTAGATTCCATAGCATTCAGAAAGAATCCATTGAATTTTATTGGATCTGATCATTTTGCAGTAGGGGAACAATTTTATTCCATGTTATCTCCAATGGTTAAAATTTATTTAATAATGTCTGCATACTTTGCATTGCTATGGAAAGTGCACAGTCTGAAAGGTTTTATTTTTTAACCTAGGCCTGTTTGTATTAATGGTGTGCTCTTCATTCTGTATTATTTTACAAAAAAGAATGAATCTTTGATTTACAATCATTTATGCATAATTTTCATTGCATATTGTACGTATAAAAGTTATGGTGATTTTATATATACGGTACAGCATTTTTACTGGTCTTACATGTATCTTACAAGCATTTTTGAATTCAGAAAAAAAAGTAGCACCTTAAAATTTCTAAATTTTTCCATAAAAGGTTAAAGATAGTAATTTACATATTGTTTTTATATTTGTTTATATTAAAATTTATACACTATAATATTAAGATCTCTTTGTTTTAAAATTTTATTGAAAGATAGATCTTAATTTTCATATTGATACATGTTTTTGTTATGTATCACTGACAATAGTATTAATAGAGCCTTGTGTACTGTGAACCATGTCATTGCTTATGGGACCAATATATGTGATATTCATGCATCATCACCCTCATCCATAATTTTACTTTCCATCAAACTATAACTTTTTTAGACACTGTGGTTAGGCCATAATAAAAATATTCCTAGATTCTCATCCCCGCCCGCCCCAATTTTATACCCCTGCCTCGATTTTTTTTATTTCTGTTTTTCTTCGTCTTAATTCTGATCGTGATCAGTATTCATCACCATTCTACTTTCGTTTTAAATCCCGCGAAAGTCGACATGATTTTGACAGCTGAAAAGATGGTAATCGCTGTAATACATGCGTATATATTTTAAACAAGGGTCATTGGTTGAAAAGGATTGGTGATGATGTGAAGAAAGAGATTAATTGAACCTTTACTATGACTTTTATTCGGGTATTGTAGATAAAATTACACCGATTGACCAGGTCAATAAAAAATCTGCAAAATTGAAAAAATTAAAATTAAAAAATAAAAGCCGGCCGCCCACCTCGATTTTTACAAAAATTCGGATGAGAATCTAGCAATTTATTTATTATGGCCTTAATTGAATTTCCTATATATTCTTATGATTATGAGTTGTCGTAATTCATTTCAAATTGCTACAAGGGTAACAATTTCAAAGACAAATATTATGCTACAGTCCCTGAAACGTTTTACTTTCCCACCTGAACGGTGAACGAATGCTGAACAAACGTTGAATGAACGCAGAGCAAACGGTGAGTGAACGATGTGCGAACGTTGAATGCAAGTTGGTGAAACGATGTGTGAACGGTGAGTGAATGCAGAACGCGAACGAAGCGCGAGCGCAAAGTGAACGGTGAACGCAAGATGAACAATTTATTCGGAATGCCTTCGATCTTTTCCTTCCATTGAAATTCTAATTTCAGGTGCTTTAATATAAATAAACGATAAATAAATACATATAGAAATAAATAGATAAATAAATAAATAATAAAAACTTTTTTTTTTCTGTACATATATGTACCAATGTTTTATTTTATAACACGATTTTAGTTGCCGTAAAACGTGTATTTGTTACTGAACGCGTGTAGTTTAAATATGAAATTAATCTATTTATATAGTTAATATGCTTATTCTTTTCACTAATAAAATAATACAGACTTTAGAAGATAAAACTATTACTTATAGAATGAATTGTTTACATTGTACCCGGTTGAAGCAACCATACATGTATTTCCGTGCTAAGGCGATTCTGAGAAAAATAACAGCCTTTTTTTTTCTTTTTTTTTTTAATTCACAATTGTCTGTTGACATATTGCATAAGTACACTCATATTTTAAAATTCTTATGCAAAATATTAGATATTTCTGTGTCTTTTTGTATTATTTTATGATGATAATTTTAGCTAACTTCTACATGTATCTGTAGATATTTCCCAGCCATGATTATACTCGGTCAAGACGATGGAAAGAGGCATTCAAATTATTGCTAGCGCTCTCGAGCACTAGCAACTACGTTAGTCCAAAGTCCTTGAATACGCATGCTCGACTTCACGATGGTGCATTCTGGGAAAACGATGAAAACTACTATAGATAATCCATACGATAACAATTTCGTTGTATCATGTTGTAGCATTAAATAACTATGTTTATTTATTGTACAGCTAACAGTTTAAAGATAACTACATATTTGTAATACTTCAAATTTTTCGGGGTTTTTTTCTGACGGAAAAGCCCGAGTCATTATCTGATTATTCTAAACAAAGACAAGGTTTTTAAACTTCTAAGCAAACCAAAGGTAGACTCTAATTTCTGATTGGTCAATATTCAGCCAATCTTACAAATTCCAGAAACAAGAATTTACACTAAAAATAACTAATTAATCAATCCATTATTTATATAAAATAAAATTCTGATGTGTATGACTTTATACCTAACGGTTTTTGACAAAGATGACCGAAAGGACCAATTAAGCTTCTTCACATCTTCAAATTCGGAACTCTCTGGATTTCTTTATACAACATACACTTTGAGTTATTTTTCTATATTCCTTATAACTCCCCTGTATTAATTTTTCTTTGCTACAAGAGTACATTGCCAAGAAATTCTATTCTTAAACCAGCTCATACAATGCCTCAATCGGCATCTTCACCATATCATATGAGAGTCTCCCGCCTCTCCAGTGAAGGTCATAAAATTTTCCGTTGCGCCAAAACTCCAATAGGTCCAACACCCCCCTCCCCCCCCCCCCCCTTCGATCGTTTCTTTACCTATATGTCTATAAAATACACTCCACAAAACAACAATAACTTTTTCACTCTCCAGCCTTGATGAAAATTAAAGGATTCAGCAAAATAAATCACTTGATCACGGATCCTCCTTTCTGTGCTTAAAAATTGCTACTGCGCTAGCTCACCTATCTTTTTTAAAAGATAAACTTGTTTGTATTAGATTGAATTTTCAAAACAAAATAAGTAATGTCCTTTCGTAGTTTTTATTGAACAGAGAAATGTACGAGAGAGAGAGAGAGAGAGAGAGAGAGAGAGCGAGAGAGAGACAGAGACCCCCTCAATTCTCAGATATCTGTTGTATCAAATAAAAATTCTTATTTTTTTTCTTAAATATTCCTAGCAGTAAAGGTAATAAAATTTTTTAGATTAACTAATCCATTTGACAGTAATCATCGTCTTTTATTTTCCTTTATCAAGTTCACACGGTTCACAGGAAGTCCACGTGCTTGTCCTGTCAATCAAAGTCATTCGACACAGTGGAGGTGAGGAAATTGTGTTTCACCAAACAATTATTGCCGAATGCAAAGAGTCACTTAGTATTTCCAAGAAGTTTGAATATTTTTCCCTATCATTTCTAGATCTGATTTTTGCATTTCTGCAGAAAAAAAAATAAATAATGGGAATAAATATACTCGGAAGGATTAAGTTTTAAATTGAATTTGAAACATATTCCCTGCCAATTTAAAATACAACGGTCGGCACTTGTATATTTTGAAACACTTTTGTTTAATGACTGTTTGATGTTGGTTTTAAGACTGATTTTCATGTGTTACAATACACATTAAATATTAATTAAGATATACTGAAAATACTCACTAAGAATTTTATTTCGGGAGAAAAGTCTTAATTATACTGAATGGCAAACATATATTCAGGTACGGTGAAGGAAGGAATTTTCCTTCTCTAATAATAGACAATTTTAAACAGTTGGTCTTTTCTAAAATTTAAAATCACACTATCAATTTAATTAGATCTAAAGATATTAAATTAACTGGATATTTGCAGTACTGTTCATAATTCTCAGACCTACGTGTAGTTTAAAATACATGTTACTGTAGCTATATATATATAAAAATATTTTTTTGTGTGTATTCTTGTCTTGTAAAAGACTTGGATTAATTATTATCCATCCATTAATGATTTGTCTTCTTTAACATTGCAACAAATTCTTGCCGTGCGTGAAGCATTTTTACATTGCCTTTTTTTTAAATTTAATATTTTAGCGTCGTTCTACATACATGAAGGTACTAAATGTATTATTTTCCAGGGACATTTCATGAATAAAGTAACAGCTGAGTTATAATAATAGAAAAATATAAATATCATAGATAATTTTTGCAATAAAATAATCATTCTTCAAATGCGATATCTAAGTTATTTAATTAAAAAACGTAAATCCTTACCATCAAAAAGATAAGTCCTTCCATTTCGGAGTTCTGAATGACAATGAAGATTGAACGATAAGTGAACGGTGAACGCTATGTAAACAGAACGAAGAGCGAATGGTGAACATTTTGTGAATGCGAGCGCACGGTGAACGGTGAACGCAATACTGTGAAGGGACAGTGAACGGTGAACGCACGCTGAACGAATGGTGAACCAACAATGCTGAACGAACAGTGAGCGAACGAAAAAATGGGAAAGTAGAAAGTTTCAGGGGCTGTATAACCATGCACATGCATGTACCGTACATATATGTTGAAAAGTATATTATAACAGCATTTGATATTACGTTAATTTTGTGGAATTATGAAAATTTGTTGACATACATTGTGTTAATTTTCAAATCCACAAAGTACAAGTCACCCACAAAGTCATGTTCCCATGAAGTAGCAAAATTTTGGCTGTTAGCAAATATAAAATCTTCACAAATTAAAATTGCAACCTACAGTTGTTGTACGGAGACAAGGAGATAGAGTTTTGCAGACAAATATTTGATATTGTGGTTGTAAAATTTATGTTCAATTCTTGTTGTTATTACAAAATTAATCTTATTATACAAGTTTTTTAGCCATTTGTTCTATATGATTGAATTATGTAGTGTTTTGATATGGTTTTATGGTCAGTACATCTTTTACCAAGTTGAAGGCATTTTTCCCAATTGAAATACTGAAAAGTACAAGTCTTTCATGCAGGGATAGGGCATTCTTAATCATAAATCAAAATCAGCTGTATTCATTAAAAGTTTGCTGTGTATAATCATGTATTTCTCTGAGCCTAACTAGTAATTTTTTTTTATTGATTACTTTAAAAAATTCTTATAAACATGACTTTTTTGTACTTCACAATTACAGATTAAAAAAAAAGAAAGAAGTGCATTAAATCATAACTTTTGATGATACATGTACATGCATGTATTCAGTGAACATTTTTCAATCTGCAAAGCTTATAAGTAAAAAAAAAATTATAAAAGTTATAGACTATATAGCTTTATCTTCTTCTATTGTCTGAATATTTTTATAATCAGGTCTTTTGATCATGCAGTGATTGATTCCTCTCATTCAGTGGACATATATATTGAAATGCTGTAACAGTTTAACAATAACTGCTTAGGATATACCATGCACCAATTTGTTTACTTTATCAGTCTTTAACTACTAGTATGCAAGTAAACCAAACTTTGTTTGATTTGCGAAACAATAATTGAATTTTAGCAGTAAACCACAAATACTCTCATTAGTCAGCTTACATCACAAAAATAGTGAACTAGCTTGCACTGCTTGTCCAGTCAAAATGATAATTCTAGTAAAACATCTACAACTTTCAGTGTAATAGAAAGGTCCAACAGTTATATCATTTCTAACTATATAATTATGTGTTAATACTT